TAGCATGTAGTGCCAGGATTGAATCCTGGTCCCTGTGCTTGCCTAAGCATGCTCTCAGTCCCCTGAGCTATTCTCCGGCCCTCAAATTCCTTTTATCTAAAACTTAAAAGTACACCCAAACTTATGACTCAGTGCACAAGTTGCACATGGCAAAATGGCCCTTCAGGGCACTACACTATTCATACATGAACTTGAATAGAAATTTTAATATTTCTACTGTAGCAAATATCCAAAATGGAAGAAGTAAAATTTGGCTTATGGAGAACTCTACTCATCCTGAAACAGATGTCAATGTGGGCTGTCTGGGAGGCCAGTGGTTTTGCTCAGTACTGAAAGAACAGTCTGCTGAGCAACATAGCATTTGACTTCCCTTTCCTGATGACCTGCCCCCAGCCCCCGACTCTATCACTGTGAGGCTCTGAGTTGCTTGTCATGAAAGAACCACGATGGCTCTGGTTCCAAAAGGTCAGTTCCTGGGGCATGGGTTCTGTAAGAGGGATGTCAAGAACAACTGAAGCTCCTTTTCTCCAGAGCTCACCGCTGGGAAAATTCTACTGCCACTACTCTCCTTTGGAGCCTTTTTGGGCGATAATATTTGTCTTCTTTCAGCAGGTCCCTCAAACAACTTTCAGAAAGGCAGTTTGCATGGGAATTACCATGGTGAATAATAAAGATATAAAACATTCAGACCTCAAAAGAGCCAGGATATGTTCTCAGATGAAACCCACTGCTTTGTCTCTTGAAGGTATTCACAGATGTCAAATACTATCCCTATTTTACAAGTAATCTTCCCATCTAAAATACTGGACAATCTATATTAGCCAAATTATTCATTCTAAACAACTTCTAGTAGGTTTATTTATTGCACTGTAATGTCGATAGAATAATAATTAGTAGGGCATAAAATATAGTAGCATCCATCTTATTTTAGTAGTAAAATATATAACTTTATAAAAACTAACATGTGTATAGTCTATCTACTATTGTAAATTGATGTAATGAGGCTGATAGTGTTTGATAGTATTAAAAGTAAAGTCATAATACTCCTCCTCTCATCTGAACTTTATATTTCATTATAATGCCATCTGAAGTATATGTTTTAAAAGCAAATTTACAAATTTATCAGTTAGGAAAAATCTTTTAGAACTGTTTGGGATTGTTAAGGGCAATAAAAATGGGGTGATGGGGCTGGGGAGATGGCTCAGTGGAATAAGTGCTTCCCTGGCAAGTGCAAGGGCCTGAGTTCAATCCCTGGTTCTGACAAAAAAAAAAAAGAAAGAAAGAAAGAAAGAAAAGAAAAAGAAAATGGGATGAGGCAGAAGCCATAGTATTGACAGACGTATATATAGCATTGTGCCCATGGAAAGAAACCTCAGGAGAAATAAAAAGATCCACACATTTTGCATTATTCTTTCATCTCAACATCGGAAAAAATCTATGTAGAAGTACAATACACCAATAACTTCTGGGCATTGTTATTGGCCATGTATAACTTAGAGCCCAATGGTGCTAAAATTTCAGGCACATGTCTATCCAGCCAACACTAGTCCCACACAGTCTCTGCACTGTAAATATCTCAGTATCACTCTTTACTACAGAAGTGTGGACCATTCGTTACCATTGTGCTATGTTTTTAAGCCTCATCACAGATGCATTCTCTGTGATAATCCTGACTGCGATTGTTTTGAAGTTTGTAATAAAGTTCTGTGCTTCCACCCTAATTATATACCGTACTTTGCCTGTTTACTGCAACATTTATTGAGGCATTTTCAATGAACAGCAAGACTTGAAAATTTAGAACTCTCTTGATCAAAGGAACATTGCTGCTCATTTGCCAGCATTCTGTGGTGAAGCTTGCATAGAAGGAAAGATGGCTGTTTTCTGTTTCTTAAACTCTCTCACTGCTTAAAGACTCTAAACCGCAGTGTTTGTGAGAAAGGTATAGTTGATGACAATGAAATTGATGTCTCTTACCACATCTAGAGCAATTAACCTAAAGAGCTGGTTAGGAAAAAATCTTACAGGAAAACAGATTTAAGTCTCTAGTGACCCAAATCAAGACAGGTTTCAAAGATACTCAAGGCTCAGGGACTGGGGTTCAATCCCTGGCTTGCTATGCCAGCCGTGCCCCCTGGGTGTGCTGAGACTGGGGCTGGTGGCATGTGCCTATAGTCCCAGCACTTGGGAGGCTGAAAACAGGAGGATCACTACAAGTGTGATTTGTGTAGTGAGCCCCTGTAGTCCCTGTAAATAAACAAACAAACAAACAAAAAACCTTCCTATGGCTATGCTCTCTGTGTCTCACTCCAATGAACAGAATGAACTTGTTCTGTTAATTCTTGAACTGGCTTCTCTAAATTGCAAAATTTATGCAGAAGTTGTCTATACGTTCTTGTACATATTAGCTGGTCTCTTTTGAACAAGATTCCTAGGATGATAAGAAAGAGCATGTAATCGAATGAACCTCATGCTTAAATGGCTGGGACTGGGGGAGTGAGGAGACGGAGGGAAGGTGTATGCCAGTGAGCCTGCAGTGTCCTTTGAATGGGCCCAGAAAACAGTACAAAATACTGTGGTTTTGGCATGCAGGGGCCAGCTTGTGCAGGAAACTGTGGTATATACAAAACAAAGTACATAAACAAACTCTTTCCAGGAAGCTGAGTTTAACAATTGCCTCATTAACAAGATACAGAGAAGGACAGGAAAAGAGGGGGAAGCCAATGGCTGATTATTATACAGTGCTAGACAGATGAAGCCCTTCAGCATCTCCCCAAACAATCCCTGTAGTGTGGATTTGACAAAGTGGCACATTTAAGAGCAACTCTCTTGCCATCAATGGGAGTCAGATGTACTCATATCTTAGGCCAAATTCAGTTTCTGGAGCTTGACTTTATCTGTAGACACAAGACAGAGGACAAGGCAGCTACATCCACAGAGAATTAATTAAGGGCAAGAGAGACATCCAGTGAATGTAATCAATAGACTGAACACGGATCTCCGTATCGGCCATCATTGCTTCTACTCCTATTTCACTTAAATTATTTGCATGAAGGTACTCTGCTAACTACTACTTCAACAGAAATTTATTTGCTAACTGATCTCAGTGGAATTTTGTAGTTTTCATTACTGTATTGTGCAAAGGATAAGAACTGGATATCTTGATGCATCAGTTTCAGTTTTTGTTTTTCAAAATTTTTCTTTCTTTTCTTTTTTTTATTAAGGTTTTTCTGTGCATGGTTCTTTCTTTCTTTCTCTTTCTTTCCTTCCTTTCTTTCTTTCTTTCTTTCTTTCTTTCTTTCTTTCTTTCTTTCTTTCTTTCTTTCGTGGTACTGGGGATCGAACTCGGGACCTTGCCCTTGCCAGGCAGGCACTTACACCACTTAGCTGTTTCCCTGGCCCAGTTCAAGTTTTTGAATGATAAAAATCGGTTTTTTTTGTTTTTTTGTTTTTTTTTTTTTTTTTTTTTTTTTTGTCGAACTGGGGATTGAACTCAGGCCCTTGTGCTCGCCAGAGAAGCACTTATTCCACTGAGCCATCTCCCCAGACCCTGAATGATAAAAATCTTTTGGGATCAAATTCTCTTATGTCTAGTGTATTAGTTTGGATTTCTCGCCCCACATTTCTTCACTTTTTTATGGGATGTGAGTTCTAACAAATCAGACTAGGATTGTTGAAGTCCACGGTCATCTAGACTTTACTAGCTAGTTCTCCCAATCTCTTTTTAAAATTGTCTGTTTTACAGCATACTGTAAAGCCCCCCTAGTCATCACAGCACTGCTTACAAATGCACATTGCTTTAACACAACCCTTTCCATACCAGTGTTTGTGTCTCTATAGCTCTTCATCCTTCCCCCACCCAACACACATCTCAAATCCCATCTCAGTTCCCTTTTTAAAGCAATGAAGACAATCACGTGATACGTATCTTGCTTCCTTTCATTCTGGAAAATAACACAAGTCTCATTACCTTCACTGTTCAGTGGCTTACCAGAGAGATCATTTTTCAAGACCAGGTTCTTGCTTAAGTCCTTTAGCAAAGATTCTGATTTCCTCGGGAGTCTGTGCTTTGTGTGCACCTCTCCTAGCAGCAGCTCTGAGACCAGGCTTAGCTGTCAGTCACCACTTGCGATGGGCTCTGGTCCCATCCATTCACCAGCAGCCTTTATTGCTTAAGGAAAATAGGAAATTCTGCCTCCTGGACACAAACATATGCATTTTCTATGTCCAGAACCAAGAGGATGAAAAGGGCAGATTTAACCAATATTTCCATAAGAATGAAAGTCTCACTTTGAAACCAACATGGAGTGTTTCACTTATAAACCATATTTCAGAATCTATTTGAAGGCATACTTGAATTGTCCTGGATCTAATTTTACAGGTCTTACTTACACCACACTCCCTTCGAAACAGGCAGGAGTGTAGTCTGAGTAAGGACTATAAAACTAGCGCCCGTCTTCTGCTCGGACTGTGGATACTTTACCAACAGAAGTGATTGCAAAGTTGATGCAGTACTGCCTCTAGATATTCTAAAACAGGATGACGCCAGAGCAAATAAAACATTGAAATGGAAAACAAAGTGGTTTGCTTAGAAGAAGTTGATCTCCTCTTACTCAGAAACTAGCAGCCAGGCATAATTAAAAAATAATGATAAAATATAGAATTATCACTAACACAAAGACAGCGTAGATGTTGGTGGTCAGAAAAAACTGATAAGCGATTCAAGCATGCGCTACCCATATTTTAGGCCTGCTGGAAGCAGCTAGTGTTCAACCAGTTTGGTTTTTATATGGCCTTCAAAGATTTATATCAACTATGATTACTTCAAAATTTAAAGAAATTACCTGATTGTTGACCAAAAAGTATGAAATGGATAAAAAGAAAACAAGCAAACAAACAAACATACCATGTTCACACACAAAAGAAAATAATTCTCTCGGGGACATCAGGGAAGGTGGAATACTATAACAACACATGTTAGATTGTTATACTATTCCACCCACCTTAATGAGGAACCCTTGGGCGTTGCTACTCCATAGCCTTTCGAATCCAGATTTCCTCCCACTTTCATCGTGTCGCACGGCTTGCGCTGCTCAATGTACTCATTCATAGTGGACTCCAGAAGAAAAGCAAATTTGCCCTTGGACTTGCGGACGCGAGCTACGCCCTCGGCGGTCGTCCTAGTGAACACTGATGGCTCTGCCGATCGCATGTAGGTCCACATCTTTTCATACACTGCTATTTTTGATCTCTGGAGGAAATGAAAATAAAATTCAATACAGGGAAAAAGAGAACAGCGTGTTAATATGGACTGGATCAAGAGGAGGAGAAAGGCTTTTACTATCTTTCCACTGCCCTCTAATTCTCGCTTGTCCTATAATAACACAATAATAACCCAACGTTATTTTTTTTTAATAACGGAAAAGCTGTCTTTTTAAAAATGTCTAAGAAAATCATTGAAATGGCAGATATTTAAAGAAGCCTGGGCCTCTTGCAATGAGAATTAGCACAGTCACCTGCTTAATTTAAAAACCAATGATAAAATACAGAATTATTGTCTTATGAAATGTTTTAATGCTATGAACACTTGAAATGTAAGTGATCTGATATCTTGAAATGTATCTCATAACACATATGTGATGAATATATGTGTGTGTGTTTAGGTTACTTCTGGCTACAGAGATCTTCATAGTAGGAGACTGTATGCTAACACCAGGTTCAATTCAGCTTTAATTGCAAAAGTTCTGTTGTGAAGATTTTACACGCTCCCCAGACAAAGGAAGGGCTCAGAATTGTGGCCACAGGCTCCACGAGGGAGGCCGCATGGTTAGGGCCCCTTCATCCAATCTAAAAGCAGAATTACGGTGCCTCCTCTCAGAGCAGCTCCACTCCAGCCTGGAGTGTAACCCTACATCTACCTCTGACAAATCCTCCTCATGTTTCTTTTTAAAAAATTAAATAAAAGCAGAGTTCCATTCCAGAAAAATCAATTCTTTATGCAATGACTTCTCCAAGATAGTAACACTGTGGATCATATGATTGAAGAGTTTTCTCATGTATCAATTGTGATGATATTGAACTCAGGTAAGTGTTAATAAATCTTTTAGACATATAATCACTTATTATATATTTATAACTTGAGAGTTTCATCCCAAAAGGTATAAGGTCCCACATGTATTATAGATTTTACTATGTATAATATGTAGAAAGCAGAAAAAAAAAATCAATGTAAGTACTAAAAGAATAGGTACATCAAAACTAACACCACAAATGGAAAAAAGTATTTTTACAGCTTAGTATTTGTAGGCCTTTGATGATATTTAAGAGCCCATTTCTAGGCCAGTAAGATAGCTCAGCAGACCAAGTGCTTGCTTTGGCAAGCTCAGGGACCAGGGTTTGATCTCCGGTCCTGCATGCTGTGCCAGCCCTGCCCCTAGGGCGCACCGAGCTGGTGACTGAGTCCAGGCTTGGTGTCACAAGTGTGTAAGCCCAGCGCTGGGGAGGCTGAAAAGAGGAGGATCCCTATGAGTTCAAGCTGTGTAGTGAGACCCTGTACCTAATACATAAATGAAAAAAACAAAAACAAAACTCCATTTCTATATTACAGTATCAATGCGAGGAAAATAAGTATATTTGTTTAACTATATTGAATTGTATATATAGTGAATCAAACACAAAATAATTGATTCAGTCTTTTTAAAAGGCAAAAGATGGAGAAATCCATATAATAGTTATGCTAAATTCAGGAGGAGGCCTTAGGTACAACAGAAACTGTGGAACTGAATGTCAGTGGACAATAGAAGAAAGACAAAATCATTTCTTTGAGGGAAAAAAAATCAGCTTGGTTTGTCCACATGTTAACGTTTGCAAATTCCAATTCTACTTTCAAGGGATACAATGCAACCCGGATGGGGCCACTTACACTTGGGGAAGGCTCGGAGGGTGTCAAGAGGGGGAGGGCTGAAAGCCATTTCTGTATTTCCTGTGCAAGCCCGCGAGACAGTGCTTGCTGCGGTGAGGCAAGCAATTATCTACACTTCATTAAGACTGGCTAGGGCCAGCCAAATATCTCAGCGGATTAAAGCGCCTGCAGGCAGGCACAGGGGCTAGGGGTTCGATCCTCAGCCCTGCCATGCTGGTTGCGCCTCCGGGGTGCGCTGCGACAGCAATTGAGCCTGCGTGTGATGGCGTGAGCCTGTAATCCCAGCTCTTGGGAGTCTGTAAACGGGCGGATCAGTCCGTACATGTCATAAGACTGGCTATAAGGTGGCAGCTTCTGCAGACCCAGAGAGCTCATAAACACAATGACAAAGGCCTTCTTAAGGCCCTAAAGCTTTCAACTGTAGTACAGTATGTATGGAAAAATCAAGTGAGAGAAGTAAAGATGCTCTAGGAAACAAGCAAAGATAATAAAAGTCATAATTTTTTGCAGTTTGAAAATTAGCCTCTGAACTATTTGTGTCACATTTATCATGAAACTTGGAGGTCAGAAAATGCTAATTTAAAACATTATTTTATTATTTAAAACATTTCTTGGAGTTTAAAAACTGTGCTACTCTTTCAATTTCTCAAAAAATGAAGTATTCTCCTATACCTGCTTTAAAAAGAAACCACAACTAAATAGCACACATTTTAGTTAATGTTTCCATTGCTTCCAGGTGAGTTCTGCTTTGGGTGTCACCGCTCAGGCAGCAAGACCAGAACTCTGTTCTAGAGAGCTCATCAGTGTGTTATTCGTAATATGCTAACCCTTGAGATGGTAATCCACCTCTGTTATGCATCAGCTATTTCACTGATGGCTGGAACAGGCGCAAGATAAAATCTGCACTGAAATGAAAATCAGGGTGTTTGAGTCAGGTGTATGACGACAAAGTTCCTAGGCAGGGAGGCTGTCATTAAGTGGCCAGTACAGACATTCCTTAAATGACAGCGGCGTTTGTGCTTAACGAGGCACGCAGAACGTGAAGCGTATCCAGTTTCATAATGGGGCAAAACCACCGCACAGCTGAATCCAGATGCAACTTCCCCCGATGGGCGACTTATTTCTTCATTTCTTTATAACTGCGACATTTCTTGAAGTATTGAGTACAGGTCACTGCCTGAGGCAGCCTAGTGGAGCTGACAGATGTGCCACCACTGCGCCCCTCCGAGAAAACATGTTTGACAGGCACAAAAATACCCTTCATGTTATGATTCATCAGCCCATCAGACAAATGGTTTATTTAAACCAGGTCATCGCGTATGGGAAAGGAGAGAGGGAAATCAGGCAGGAAATGAATGAGATTTGTATCAGAAAACCCAAATGTACGCATTCCTACAAATACGCTGCCAGGGGAAATCACACGCTTGTCTTACTGGGGCTCAGAGGGTTCTGCAACAATAAACACCTTTACTTACAAAAATCTCCCAATTTGAAAACTGAAGTTGAATGGCGAGAAAGGAAACAATGCCTGGTGCTCGTAGAGTTTGTACGGAAGACTCTAAATATATTTTATTTTATTTATTATTATTATTTTTTTGTATTTAGGACAGGGTCTACAGGGTCTCACTGCATAGACTGGACTCATAGTGATCTTCCTGGTTACAGCCTCCCAAGTGCTGGGATTACAGGCGCGCGCCACCAGGCCCAGTCTCAGTCACCATCTCAGCGTGTGCCAGGAGCGAGGACAGCACAGCAGGCTGGGGATCGAACTCCCGGCCACTGAGTCTGCCTATGCAGGTGATTTCATCTGCTGAGCTATTTGGCTGGCCCCAGACTTTAAACTTAGGAAGCAGCTTGCATCATATTTCTTATCAATGTCTTCTCTGCCTTGCCAGCTTTGCGAATTTGAGGAACTTTTCAAAAGCTTTCTAAAGTTTAGAAATACTTATTGTGCTTCATGCCAAAGAGCTTCATGGTGAGTTATTTCTGAACCGTTTTTAGGCAGCTGACATGACCTGTCTTTTTCTCTTTGTCGCATAAGGAGAATGATAAGCTTGAGAATATTTCCTTTATTACATGACAGTCATCACTTTTCAGAGAAACGCAAGTGAGAGTGAAATCTTGCTTTGTATTTAGACGCATCCACAGAATGATTTCTAGGTAAAAATCAGTAAGTTTTGCCTATTTATTTTTGGGTGGAAGCAATTTCAAAGAAACAGATGTTCAGCTGTGTACTGAAATTACGTTAGAATGGATTACAGTATTATGTTTCTATTAAGCGTGCAGACGAGGATATGCTCACTAAGTTAAAGTGTTAAAATTTTGGTAAATTGAATATATTTGGAGAATATTGTTAATAACATCTGCTGTCATGACAGAATTTTAGAAATATCTACAAATATTTTAAAAAGTTTAGACATAGTTATACAGACATAGTTTTATATACTAACAGTGTTCTAAATTATAGACAAAATTATATATACTAACAACATGCCAAATTATAGACAACAACATTGTTCATTGATTTCTTTTTTAAGCAATGCCCAAGAATGTGTTCAACTGAATTTTTGAGCAATTTTTTCTTGATTTGGTTCATGTAAACATCTGTAGTATATTAAAATCAAATCATTTTTAAAAAAGGACATCTTACTAAAATTCAAGAACATAAAATTTCAAACTGGTTTAAGGAGTTGCTTTTACTTTTCAAAATGAGTGAGAAAATTATAA